ACTTGCTGGCTCAGCAGTTGCATGTACTGCTCCCCAAATTATCACTGCCCCTGTTATAACAGAGGACTACAGAGGGACCTCTAAGAGAACCTATAGAGAAATAACTGATGCTTTTAAACCCACCAAAGAAAACCTCTTAAGATACCAACAATGAACTCAGTCAAATAAAATTGAGACATGGAAAAAGCCAGGCTATTAACCAAGACCCCAACTCCATATTACAGTAAAGGCTTGATGCTAAATTTGTTCTTCCTAAACTTTTGCATGTCACTATAAGAGCACTTATCTAGGAAAAGATCAAATGATTGAGATTTTGAGGAAGTACAGATGGGGAAATTCTCTTCTGAGGCAGCTGAATATGTGATAGGCAATACCTTTTGCCCTCTGGACCTATACTTGAATGGTAGATTCAATTTTATCCAGCTTTCACCTTTAAGTGGCTAGAAATATATCTTGGCAATGCTTTGCAGCTTTTTACATTGGGTAGAAGCTTTCCCTGACAACGAGCCACTGCTTCTTTGGTAGCAAAGAGGCTCCTCAAAAATAGTACCTAGGGAGTATCAAAAATACTTTCCAGTGAATGGGGAAGTTGTTTACTAGGAAGGTTTTTAAAGAACTATGCCGAATCTTCTCTATGAACCAGAGATTGCATTGTCTTTATTATCTTGTCTTCTGGACTTACAGAAAGAACAAATGCCATAATAAAAAAAAAGCCCAACTTGTTAAACTTTCTAAATCCTTAGGTCTGTCTCGGGCTACAGGTCTCACTTTGATCCTTCTATATTTATGAAACACTTCTTTTGGGCCTCACAAACTTTCTCCCTATGAGATAATTACTGGAAGGTTTGCTTCCCTGTACTGCCCTTGTTGACCCTAATTTAGTACAACCTGAATTATTGAAATACTGTTGATCTCTAATGTAACATTCTAAGAAATATTTTTCACAAATTAAAGAAGCACTTGAGGAACAAAAGCCTAAAACATGGTTCTCCTCCTTTATTGAACATTATCCAAGGAGATGATGCTTATTGGAAAAGGTACCTTAGACTCTCATCATAAGGGGTCATATCTAGTTCTCTTTAACCAACTCTTGCTCAGTGAAATGAAATGAAATTAACCTTTGGATTCATTTATTACATATAGAGAAAGTGAAAACACTTATCTGGACTTGTCAGCCAAACGGAAATATGAAACTCAGATCAGCATGATCTTAGAAGAAGACAAATGTCAAAAGCAAGCAGCCAGTCCCAAAACACATGGGACAAAACTGCTGAAATTTTTGGACTCTGTTTCTGACCTGCTGCTATATGAATAGTTTGGGTTGTTTTTACACAATTGTGGAATTATTTCTTAGTAGCTTTGGCAATCATTTAATACTTTTAACTTTAACCCAAATAGATTAATCTTTTTATTCCTTGTGCAAGAAATTGAAATGGTTGTACTCTACTTAGTACTTATAACCTCTATGAAGAGCTTTAATTTATCAACTTGGGTTCATCTCCCAGTAACTTACTAAAGATGAACATGTTTTATACTCGTTTTCTATTAACAATACTTTAGTTAACCTTTCTCTATTATGAGATTTTTATACATTTATCGTAACCACTGATGTTTGGAATGAAAGTACTTTTATCCAATTTACTCAATCAGTAGCCAGCACCAGCAATGTGACTGAATAGTGGGAATGTCACCCTTCCTCTCAGTCCATAAGAGATCATGTTGATTCCCTCGTGGTACCAGTTTGGACTATAAGCTCACATCTACCTTTACTATTGATTTTTAAAAACCATTTAAATGACCATATGTCAAATTATGGTAAACTTCAGAATTATTCCCTTATCCATCAGCTCCCTGTTTCATTCTTCTTCATGCCTAGGTAGATTATGATGGATGTTCTATTCCACCTGCATGATGCAATCTTTTGTTAGTAATGGTTGATATTATTCCTCTTTAATGAGTCCTGGTGTGGTGCTGTAGGATAAGCACTGGACTGCAAGGTTCATTTGAACCACAAGGTTCAACCTCACCATCCACTCCTCAGAAACTCTATACAGGGTCTCCATGAGTCATAATCAACTCACAGCACTGAACAACAACATCAATAAGTAACTGTTTTATAATTAATCATCAAAATTCTCTAGTTTGTGCATAATTCTGGAGTAGCCTAGAATTTGGATTACCTATCTATGATGGTTCATTGACTTTGTTGTTGTTAAGTGTCGTTGAGTCGATTCTGACTCCTAGCGACCCTGTACCCTGTACAGGGTTTCTGAGGAGCCACTGGTGAGTTTAGGGCATTATCCTGCAGAGCCACAGCAGGACACCAGAGGGATTAAAAGAGCCAATTCATCAATTTCATTTTCTTTAAAACTCATACTGGGACTGGCATGTTATGTACCTCATCTGGATGTGGCTTTTTGTGCAGAGAATTAGTTTATTTAAGAAAAAAAGTACCCAATACTTGGGTCTTGCCAACTTTAGATGATTGGACTATGTGGGGCCAATGGACCTTAGGCATCTTGGAGTTCTCAGGAGGATTCATTCATAGAATGACAGTTTACTATGGAACAGTGACTTGAAATTAATTTCCTACAGAAAAGAGAACTTGCCATCTCAGATAATCCCATTGCTGATAGTCAGGGTGGCATTTGTCATTTCTTCAGGCACTTGTTCCCACTTATGACTCTGATATGGCACTGTAGGATAAGTACCAGCCTGCTAACTAGAAGGTTGGCATTTCAAACACACCAGCCGCTCCCTGGAAACCCTATACAGACTCGCTGTGAGTCAGAACAAACTCAGTGGCACTTAACAGCAACATGACATATTACAACAAGAAACATTTATTTGTAATCTGTCTACCACTATTGCCTAAACCACTAAGCCGTTTGAACTGCAAGGTCGGCGGTTCAAGCTCACCAGCAGCTCCTTGGAAACCCTATACAGGGTCACTATGAGTCAGAACAGACTCAACAACACTTGACAACTATTGTTCAAACCAACTCCCTCACCAGGACTCCATATGTGTGTGTGTGTATAAACACACACACATATATGTAGGGTAAGCACACTGGACTGCTAATCACAAGGTCATTGGTTCAAACCTACCAGCAAATCCACAGGAGAATGATGAGCTGTTTGGTTCCATAAAGATTTATAAGCTTGGAAACCTTGTATCGGTTTTCTGTGACTCAGAATTGACTGGGTGTTAGTGGGTTTGTTTTTTATATGTGATGGTAAGTAAAAGAATATTGCTACAAAATCACAGAAATTTATATTAGCTAAAAATATCAAAATGTAAAGCTACTACTGTTACTTAACACATCCTCCATCTAGATCTGTCCACTTCTGAAGGTGGTGTTCCTATCTCTCTAACCCTTCCTTGAAGAATTCTGCACTATTTGATTTACAATACTTGTCATTATTGAGGAACTCAAATCATGTTCCTTTTCAATGTTCCTTGAGTTTGGGGAGCAAAAGGAAGTCTGAAGGGGCAATACCAGGGCTGTATGGTGGCTGTGTAAGATGTCCCAGTGAAATTATTCTAGAACAGCCCTTGCTACTCTTGGAGACTGATCAGGTGGATCATCATGATGGAAAAGAAAACCCCAAACCATTCCTCAGTGCAACTTTCCTGGATTTTTTCTCACCAATGCCACTTTCCCTTTTCTTAAAGCTTCTTCATAATAAGCCCCCATGATCATCCTGTGTTTTTCAAGAAAAGCTTTCAAGATTATTCCTTTGGAATCCCAAATAACAGTTTCCAGAACCTTCTGAAATGCCTGGAATTTAACTGGCCCAGTGGATCCCCTTGGAAGCCACCTAGTTTTAAAGGCACCCTGTGGAAAGTGCTGTGGGTTAATGCACTGGACTACAAGGTGGGTTTGAGCTTCCAGGTCAGGAGTTCAAAGCTCCCCAGTCACTTCTCGGAAATCCTATACAGGGTCGCTATGAGTCGGAACTGACTCTGTGGCACTTAACAACAACAACAACAACAACCAGGCAAGGACTCCTGGTATGGCGCTACAGGATAAGCACTGGACTGTGAACCACAAGGTCAGCAGTTCAAACCCACCAAGTGCTCCTCGGGAACTCTATACAAGGTTGCTATGAGTAGAACAGACTCAACGGCACTTAACAACAACAACAAGACTAAGGGAGCATGGTGGCTCCATATGATAAACAATGAACTACACACCGCAAGATCCATGGTTCAAGCCCGCCAGCTGCTCTGCAGGAGAAAGATAAGGCTTTCTGCTCCTGTTAAGATTCAAAGCCTTGGAAACCCTATATAGGATCTCTATGAGTTGGAACCAACTCAACAGCAGTTAACAACAGTAACAAGGCTAAGACAGGTAAGAGAGCTTGTCTGCAGCCATCCATGGATTGCAGAGACATATTCAGAAACATTTTGTTTGGAATAAACCAGTGTATGTGTAAACTGGAACTTTAGTAACAATACTTTTTGATTTACCCTTACATGTTACTGATTCACCTTGTTTATAATTATCTGCTCCTCTCGCAGCTAAATTGTCAGCTTAATGAAGGCAGGGACTTTTGGCCTCTTTTGTTCATTAACCCTACTTCCTGGCACATATTAGTAGCACAATACATGTTGAATAAAACGAATGATTACTAAAATATTTTAAACAGTGCAATGTGCTAGGCATGGCAATATACATTTTTTAAATAGACAAATGAACTGAATTCTTTCAACTATCCCATCAAGTATAATAACCATTTTATAGGTGAGAAAACGAAGTCCTGGAAAAGATGAGAAACTATCAATGAAAGATTGTACGTTCAAAGTCACACGCTTCAGAGGGGCTGAGTGGGGTTTGAATCTAGGGGCTCTGGGCACATCCAGTTTTACTCATTTCTTTGGACTTTGTCGGGGTTGAGATTCCTGCCTGACACCCATGCCCCATGCGATGGTCCTTCCTGCTCCCAGCCAGGTCCCATACTCTCATTTCTTTCCCAGCTGCTTCTGGAACACTCACCGTTATAGCTTGGAAAGACCGGAACTCGAGGTAAGTGAGATGCTGAGCCAGCTCCACCGTCTCCAGGTGATCGAAAAGCAAGGATACTTTGCGCTTCTTGCCCAGGCCTGGGCTGCTCATGGGGGGTGGAGGACCAGGGCTCAGGCTGTGGGCAAAGAGGGACTCAGGGTGGAGGGGACTCAGGGATATGAAGGGGGTGGAAGGATGGAGATTTGGGCAGGGAAGAGGAAGTTGGGGAGGAAATAACTCACAGATTGGAGGAGCCCCCCAGGCTCCTCTGGGCTGAGTCTCCCTCCTTATCCACGGTGGCCCAGAAGCGACCTATAACCTCTTCTAGTTGGGGTTCTTGGTGTACTACCTTAGGGTGCTGGGTCAGCCAGTACCTGAGGGTGGTTTAGAGATGGTGGGATCAGGATGGGAGGTGAGGGTGGGGAGGACCTCCTGGAAGAGTCTCTTGGACTGAGGAGGGATATCTAGAGGTAGGCAGGGGGTCTAGAGGTAGGCAGGGGG